AATAAATTATATCTTTTGTCATAAACAGGGTCTACAAATTTGAGTTTTTTTTGTCATAAACAGGGTACCCTTTCAGAATCCCAACGGAACACCCCCCCCCAAATTCTGGGGGGGTCCCCCCCCCCCCCCCCCCCCCGGGATCCCGATTAAACGAGCTGGGATGTATTTTCATTTTTACCTTTGTCTTTGACTTCTTTTTCGACCTTCATAACTTTGCCATGATAGTCAAAAGCCTCTATAACTGGAAAAAAGACGCATAGGTCGTTGAACGATATATTAGATTAGACGACAAGGAATAATGAAGGACAAAGAAAGATCACACACTTCACTTGAAAACCTCCAAATTTTTTCAGACCCTGAATCAACCGTACCTGCTCTGGATTGATCGAAGTCAGGGCACGGCTAATTCAGAGATCAAAACGGAATTTAATGTGTTAGGTTTTGCGGAGAACCCGGACAAAAACCCTCGAATCAGGGTATGAAACCCAACGAACTCTACCCACATGTGATGTCAAGCCTGGGAATCGAAGCGAGACCCAAGAGGAGGCAAGCGCATGACTTCGCCTACCCATCCATCTTATCCTTGGGATATTTTTTAAAGATTTTTTTAAGATCCCTAAGTTCGAAAATTCTTTCTAAATATGTGGACCTACTACTTTATGGTCATTTGAGGAAAACTGATAGATGGACAAGACCGAAAACATCCGGCATCATTCACATCCTCAAAATCCTACGAATCACACTAGGTTGTCAGTCTTAGAAATAGTCTTGCTTTAGACTTTGGAAAAGCAAATTTCGTCAAAAATCTTACCTTTTCTGGCTTCTAATGAAACAACTAGAAAGGCAGCACACCATAAAAGAACCTTGAAAGCCATGTTTGCCTAAAAGTAAAGCACACAGGAATTGGAATAAGTTTGAATGAAAATGCAAACATTTCGACCTTGTATTCAAGTTTTAAACAAAAACCTAAAAAATAAATCAGAACATTGTTATAGTATAGGGTAAGTGTAGTTAGAATAACACCTTTTGCCTAGTATCATCACCATAATACCCTTGTTAGTTTAATGCATATCAGTGGAAGTATTATTGRAGACTGGAATTCGTTGTTTCTGTCTCTTGTTTACAGATCATTTAACCATTTTTTYCCAGTCCCATCAGGCCAGCTTCATGAAAAAACGAAGGTCTTGAGTCTTGAGAATAAAGCTACATATATCATAAGCTTATATACAATGAAAGAAAAAAGCAGGAAATTGTGGATGATGTGTGAAATCCTGGAAAACGAAAGGTTTCGCATAAGAAATTGGATCTGAGTAAAAATTAAGCCCGCGCAGTGCTAGCTGGAGTTAGTTCCTTAGTTCCGCGAAGGAGTTTGGTTAGCAGTCGATAAAGGTGCTTGGAATACAACGGAACCCTACCACTGAAATCCTGGACCAAAAGGAGTGTATACCGTTACCATTTATAATCATACGAATTTTTTTACGAACTGCTGATTTTATTACCGGTTTTTAGTTTAAGTTCTTTGGAATTGCTTTTTAGAGCTAAAAGTTTGTTGTTTTTTTTTTGTTTTTTTTTTTGTCCTAAAGAAAATCTCTTTATCAGAAAAGCCCAGGATTAAGCAAGTTGAGATAAAGACGCCATAACAAATAGGCCAAAATAGTGGAACTAAGACTTCTGGCTCCTAGTTGGACAGAGATTTACTTGATACAGTACAAGTCGAATCACTTAGATTTTCTCTAAAAAACGCTTGACAAAACATTATAACAGTGTCACAGTTCTACCAGCAGTATCCTGTATGCACTAATTCACGTGACTATACCATGGCTGTCAAAACTAAACAGTGGTAGTCTGGTACCCGTGGACACGTATTCTTAGGAATATCAATTTTACCTTCTATTATGGCCAATTTTTTTCTTTTAAATCTGGCCCTTTTCTCACTATTGTGGGCTCTTTTGATCTATGAAGTCTAAACTTTTTACTGTTTTGACGAATTTATTTTGAGGTTGTATTGGGCTTGACCTTATTAGTCTTAAATGGCTTTTGATGTGTACGAAGATACCTGTGGCCGATCCTAGTGATCGTAGCCCGAAACCATAGAACAGCAAAAGGTTTTTAGGTCTTTACGGTTAGGCGATCGTTCTAGATAGACTTGAACTCTTTTGACCGACGTTTCGTTTCATATTCTTAGCTACCCGTTAACCACAACAAAACAAAAAGAAGGAAAACAATAACGAAAAAAATAAACAAAAATATCATAAATAGACAAAACAATGACAAAATAGAAATAAATGAATAAATAGTTTAGGAATTACCTCAGGCTTTGAAGGCAAGAGAAAAAAAAGTTACATTAACACATTGATTTTGTTTTGATTTACCTGATAGCGAAGCGTTGCCCCTGTCGATATCTGAAAAAAACTTTTCCCTAAATAACAGAAATACGGGTAAATTATAAATCATTTATTAGTTTTGACATTTGAAGAGGAATCCAAGCAATAAACTGGCTTTTTTGGTGACATTTAATCAATGACGTCGGATAACATTAAATCCTTCCAGCTGATTGGCTAATTTCTCCAAAGGTGGCTTTCGTACTGATTTTGATATGATTTGACAATATTTTATTGCGCTATGAAAAGCATAGTATTTAGCAAGATACATATTTAAAGGTCATAAAGGGCCGAAGGCGGTAAATAAAATAAGAGTATTTTCTTTTCTTCTTAGTAATAGTTCTCTTCTTCTTCTTCTTTTATGTGTGTGTGTGTGTTTTTTCCCCATTCCTTTTGCCCCACGTTTTTGACACTTTTTGGGTGACTGGCTTTTACGATGAAAAATTAATTGAATGTTTTTTTATTTTCTTCCAACTTCCATAATAATGGAAACCTTATCCCTTTAATAGTTCAAGCTAGAGAATTCTCGATTTTAAGTCACGATATTCATTTCAAAACGTTGAACAACTTTCACTTGTTCGAATAGCCTTATCATTTGAATATTCAGGTTCGCAAGTTCAGGCAACTGACAAGGTCACAGGTACGACTGTCAAATGGCTGCCTTAGACTAAAGTAGTTGTGTAATTCCGTGTCTGAATATGTTTAATTATTCAGCTTCTTGTTGAAAACTGAAAGTAAAAAAAAGGAAGAAAAAAACGATGGAAAAGCAAGTAAAAGCGAGAACGCTGATCGAGACAATGCTTTCAAACCTATACCAAAGACCAAACTGTTGGAGGTAACTTTTCTATTCCTGATCGATTTTACTTATACTTTCTAATTATAGAACTCTATAATTGTTGCTTTTGAGTGTCAAAGATTTGATGTTTAGTTAATTTAGTGTTATTACATGTGTTAAGTGTTAAAATATGATATTATGACGATAGTTCTTATTAGTATAAAATTTTTCCATCGCGACAAGGTGTGAAATGGGCAGGAGGGAATTATCTCTTGGAGTGAATTACATTTCTAAATGACAAAATAAGTTGGTCAAACGCACTTTCAAGTGCCTGCCAATGCTAAGTAACTTCATTTAAAATATCTCGGAATATACTATCTACGAATCCTACTTATTGACCATTAATGTTAATCTAATCATTGTTTTACTTCACTGGTCAAAGATAGAYATTAATTAATCTAGACGATATACAAAAACATTACTTGGTCACTTTTTAATATAAAAGTACAATTCTTTTTATGATTATTTCAAGTTTGAAATGATGAAACTATCACGTAGACATATAATTTTCTTACATATATAATTTTCCTGCGATTTAAGTTATATGTTGTGTTCGTTTTCTTCTTTAGCAGCCACAAAGTTATAAGTAGTAGAGCTGGTAGGCTTTTGTACTAAGATCCTCTATGCTAGACAACATTCAATACTTTAATGCGTATCAAACATCGAGTGCTCTTTTGATTCGGTGACCATTACTACCATTATCGCGTTAGTTCAATGTCTCGTTTGCCGAYTAGCATTTCAACGAATCTTTAATTCAGTCCATAATCTCCCTCAAAATATTGCTTTTTTATTGCCGTTCTTTGATTGACGATCTTTAAAATGTTAGTCGGCCAACGAGAACTTCACGCCTCGCCCTTCAACGATAATGGTAGTAATATTAACATCATGTACCGATGAAAATAGATTGGTTGTAGTGGGTCGGCGCTAATCCACGATTGCTTTCATCTCAGTGTCATGACTTTTCCTTACTCGTGGTTATCCAGTTTATCGTTCTGATACAATATTTTAAAGAGAAAAAAACGACACTTTTAAGTTCCATGTTTTTATCCATACATATTTCGACAGCGTTATCTGTCTTCAGTCATCAGTTTACAAAGCATGACAGGGTCTATATATCAGTACAAACGTAGTTTTGAAGAAATACAAAAGCAACTTCAATTGCATGGCATGACGATTTATCGTATATACGTAGTTGGCAGAATGCCACAATTTTTGACCCATGATCCTTTGTGCACCTTATTTTCCTCTTATTGCATTTTGTCTTTCATGTGCAGGAAAGATGCGTCTCTTCTTAGCTTGTTGTCTTGTTGCTTTCGCCTGTGGGGCACCTAATAAAGGTAATCAATGGAATCTATAGGTTTGATGCCATCCTTGTCGGTTATTTCTTATGAACCTGTAAATTATTTTTAAAATGCCACTCACAATTAACACATTAATTTACTTGTTATCATTCCATTTGTTCAAAACTTGCTGCCTCTTCTAGTTCCTTCACCTCTTGAACTTTGGGTGTATGGACGATTCTGTACRAGCCGCATTTTTGTGCTTACAGTTAGTACAGAGGAACATCAGTTATCGCATGATAAAGGCAGACTGTTATTTGTATTGACCAGTAAATTAATTGACTCTGTTTCTCGCTCTCAAGTTGATATTATAACATTCTTTTTACTACCAACAAATTTCCAGTAACTAATTTGTTTTTCTTTCATCCAATAAGATGTAGTAAAGCGCAGTCCTAACCCATGTGGGATGTCATGTCCAATAACGTGTGCTCCAACGTGTACTCCAACCTGCTGTACCCCACCACCACCTCCACCACCACCATGTTGTGTTCCAGGTCCTCCTGGCCCACCAGGCTGTAACGGACCACCGGGTCCGCCTGGATGTGTAGGATTACCGGGTTGTCCCGGCCCTGTAGGACCAGTAGGTCCCATGGGTCCTCCTGGATGCCCTGGTGCCCCTGCTCCCCCAGCTCCTCAGTGTCCTCCAATCTGTATCCAACACTGCATGAAGATCTGTCCTTTGCCTTGTTGTCGGCCAACACCCCCACCAGTTGTTTGTCCACCTCCTCCAGTAGTATGTCCGCCACAACCATGGCCAGTCTGCCAGCCGTCGTGTCCTCCGATTTGCTGTCGTCGCAGTGGCAAAAAGTAAAAATATCAAACTTCAACCTAAGTCAAAAAACAAACAGACTTAAAGGATAAAGTTATTTTAAAAATCTTTAACTAGTGGTAGGGTATAACTACTAATTTTTAGGTTCAATCATTCACGATTGTTAATTTACGTAAATTTTAATTAAAATAGATGGAGATGCAAGTCATATATTTGCATAAACAAATTCATCGTTGACAAGAATGCAACAAAACAACTCGACTGTCATTGTGTTCAATGAGGTAGTTATATCATTCTTAAAACACTTTGTCATGATCACCGAACCTGTGACATCCCGAATAAAATATACTTGCATTTGTATTCAAAATATACTTGTTCATTTGTATTCAAAGGTGTACTTTTTATCTCTGGTGTATCCGTTAAAGTCCCGTGCGTTTTACTCAATCAGTAACGTTCAACCCCAAACACTATCAATGATGGCGTTGGGGTGGTGTAAATTGTGAAATTTGATATCAATTATGAATCCTATCGAATGAACTTGATTTAGAAGTTAATTTTTGCGGAGGGAGGAAAACCAGAGAAAAACCTTCAAAGTACAGGCAAAACTGAACCAATAAGCAATTCTACTCACATACTGGACATCGGAATCGAGCCCGGGCGGCAAGCGATGTCACCGCTACGCTCCACGTGCTTCCCGTCACGTATGTCGTATATACCAAGCAGACTTAGGCCCTGCCCGAAATGAGGAAAGATGTTTACCACGCGCATGTTTCCCCGATGTTTCCCAGTTTAGCCACATGCGAAACATTGCTGCGTGCAACAAATTTTGCTCCAAAGACATGTTTCTGGTGTGCGGGAGAACATTTCATGCTTCCAAGACGCGTGGAAACAATGTTTTCCGATGTGACAGTTTTGCCACCTTTGGAAACATTTAAGGAAACATGTTTCCTCGTTTAGCCAGGACCTTATAATAAGTTAACGAGTTTCTCTCTCTCTCTTTTTGTTGTTGTTGTTGTTGTTGTTGTTGTTGTTGTTGTTGTTGTTGTCTATTTCAAAACCTGAATTCAAGCGATAACCTGGAACATCCTTTGGGCTCATCAAACAGGCACGTAAAGCATGCATGTAACAAACAGAACGAGCGTGTTAGGTTTTTTGGGAGGGAGGGAGGTAAACTGGAGAACCATGCAGAAGAAAAACCCTCGTGTCAAGAGAGAGACCTAACAACTCTATTCAAATATAACATCTAGTTCAGGAATAGAACGCGAGACCCCAGAAGTGAGAGGCGTTTTGCTATCCGAAAAATATGAAGAAAGAGGTCAAAGCCTTTACTTTGTGGAGATGACGAGGTGTTGCATAACTGCCGTCACAACCAAGTAGTATTTCAGCAAAGATGCAGAGAATTGCACACGATTTTATGATGCCGTAAACTAAAACTTGCTTTTAAATATCCGCTAAAACATGTACTAAGTCTGTTGTGTGCGAGAGTTGTAGGGAAACGTCATATCGTTTAAGCCGGCATTATTGTACCGCTTTAGACTAATAGTCGAATATGGCTACCGCATTGAAATAATGAATTGTAGTTGGAGGAAGATAAAATTATCTTCTCTTGGATGAGATAATTATGTTTTATGCAAAAACAAATTTAAAAATACTATTTTTTCAGTAAATGAATAATATGTATTCTAGTGCAATGCAGTGTGGGTTTGTTATGACGTCACGATTCCATCGTTTGTTCTTATTGGGTAATTAAAAGCGCGCGCATTCGATGGCGCCTTTGTTGAGGTCAAAGTTTGAATTCATGTCATTTTTCAGTAACATTTTAAATTCCAGAATGCCTTAAATCTTAAAGTGGTTTATTTTTTTACGCACACAAATACGCACACAAAACATGTCGTTCAGAATCGATTTACAGCAACTTTTAGATATCGCTTTGGCGACTCCTGATATTGGCAATGTCAACTTTAATGTCTTACGGGCCTTTTTGCTCGAGGTTTTGAAGCATCTTGGAATACGGCGCAAAATAATCCTCGTTACGGAAGAAGAAGACCTCAGAGCGGCATATGATTTGATTCGTGAAGGCTTTGTCATTCCGCAGGTTGGAACAAGCCAAAGTGAATTGGAACTAATAGATGAACATGTTATGTTTGAAGAAACAGTTCCAAAACGAACAGTTACACCAGTACTACGACGAAGTGCCACACCCCAGGAAATACTTGAAAGGGCTGAATCTTCAAGACGAAGTAAATCTGCCACCCCTAGGCTCAGCCAGGGAAATATACCCCCTTCGCAAAAGGAACCTTCTATCGAACAAGCCAGGTTTTCACCGCAGAGAGATACTGAAAAGAAAAGTGTTGCAAGCGATGGTCTTCCACAGTCACCTAGGAAAGACAACATCAGCGAGGAATCTGACAAAAAGAGTGTTAGAAGCAACGGATCCGCGTCGAGCAAGAAATCCGTTCATTCGCCTGCCGGAATCTCTCTCACTGTTACTCCTGTAGGATCGCCCACTCACAGCATCGTGCCAGATTATGTGCCCTCCAGTAAGATTTCTGTTGAGTCGACCCGCAGATCCACTGAGGTGATGCAACGAGGCGAGACAATGAAGAGCCTGATAAGAAAAGTATTAGAACTTCAAGGTAGAGTGGAAACACTAGAAGCCAATAAACTAGCCAACACGGTCAAATCCACTGCATCATTCCTCATCCACCACAGCGATTCAAAGACACCAGCCAAGGACATGACAGAAATGATTTCCTTCGAACAAAAGCTTCAGGGCTGTGAAACAACTACCCAGGGTCTGGCTGAAATTGTCGACATCCTCACAGCTGATTTATATGAGCTCAGAGAGACAGTGAAAACGGATGGTCAAAAAATGGACAGCTTCCAAAGTTCATTAGGAGAAGTTGATACGAAAACCAAAGGTGATAAAGATGATGTTCTGAAACTAATGGAAGAGATGAGGAACGAGCTGAGGCAGGCAGTAGAAGACGCCCAATTTAAACCACCAACTCGAAAACTATCCCTTGATGTTTCTCACGTGGAAAGAGTCGTTGATCGGAAACTGCAGCACGAGATTAGTCAACTTGCTCAACAGTTTGCATCCAATGACAGGGATTCGCCTATCACCATCAGCAACGAACCGCCAAAGGTACTTTACGAAGCGGTTGATAAAATTGACGATCTTTTCGAGTTCCAGCAATCATTAGAAGAGCAAGTGAAGAACATTTCTGAGGAAATCGTCAGCCTTAAGGATAACACCGCTTCTAATGAACGCGTACAGACCATTACGCAAGAACAAGAGGCGCTAAGAAAGAAAGTAGAAGAGTCTTATCAAAATGCAGAACGGGCTATCTCAACAGCGAAGAGATTGGATCTAGAAAACAAAAACATTCACTCATCAATCGAAGAGAATAAACGCCAGATTGTTCAGCTAAACAACAGTCTAATGGAGATGAAAAACGAATATGAGGAACTGTCTTCTACTTTGCAAGGTAAACTGTCTTTTTTTTGTCAGTATTAATAATAATAGTAATAATATTTATTTATATGGCGCAAATTCAACAAGTAGTTTTCAAATGCGCCTATTTACACCAGAAACGATTTTTTGCAGCACTAGCATCTATATAACACAGATTTAGCTTTTAAGAGATATTAATAATAAAGTTTCTAGGTTGCCTTTCATTTATTATTTCTTTTCTTTTATTCCTGCCTTCTTTTTTCATTCCTAGTTCCTTTCTTCCTTCTTTTCTCCTTCTTTCTTTCCGTAACTTGCTCCTAACAGGCAAAATGACATCAATTTTGACGACCGATTTTCACTGATTATTGCGTACTTCTTCGTTTCAGGGCATATGGCCGAGGAGCACAAGTCCGTGTCCAGAGCGCGCACAAGAAGTACTGAAGGAGAAGACATTAGTCTAATTCGTTGTATGATCAATGATCTAAGGGAGGAAAAAGACGAACTGAAAAAATCCAATCAATTTCTCTTGCAAGAGCTTAAGAAGAAGCAAAAGTTGCTGATTGAATTACAGGAACAGGTATTCAAAAATGAATCAAATTGGAAAAGATAACTAGCTAAAAACTAGTGCGAGCTGCGTTGGTGTTTCTAATGAAACAGTAATGATAAAAGGGTAAATTTTACACCGTGAAAAGATGAAAAAACTTACTGACGTTTCGGACGCTAGTCCTTCGTCGGAGAAAAAGAGAATCGAATTGGTACATGTTTGTCCTATTCCTATCTTTCTTTTTTTTTTACCTCCTAGGGCTTTTTACAATATTAAGGCTTTGTCTTATATCATTTCAGCTTGAAAGGATTCAGCTCGTCAAGGCAGATAAAGACTACATCACCAACGAGATGAAAGGCAAGGCTGACAAGAGAGAGATTAATCTGAAAGTCGAGCGCGATGACTTTGATCGCTACATTGGAATGGTTGATCAGTCACTTCGAGACCTGCTTCAAAGACTTGAGGGTCATGTAAGTGAAAGTCAAAAATAAATATAACCCGCAGAATGCAAAAGAATTAAAGTTACATCTATATTTGAGTTGATTTGGATGAGCATGGAATTTTCAAAGAGTCGTAATCTCAGATAAAAAAGGCAGTCTTGTCAACAATTTTAGAAGTCACAACAGTCACAACGGAGAAATTTGAAAAATTATGCACATTTTTTCATTTGCCTTTCTGCTGATAAGCCATATATATGATAATATACGCATGGTCTCTCTATTAATRAAGGATTGAATATTTTTCTTGTAGGAGAATGTCCTGCGTGAAACGATCGATAGCATCTCAAACAACGTTAACACCAAGCTTGACAGAGCAGAAGTCGAGCCTTTGAAGCATTACCTCGAAGAAAGACTGAGAGCTCTTAAACCAAAACCCATCGAAACGCGACCACCTACCGAAGAATACGCCGCTGGATTCCGAAAAGTACTCATCAAGAATTTCAACTGCATCTCTTGTGATCGTCCGGTGGAGTTTGCGCGCGAAAGTATGTTCCCGCCCTTACCATCAGCACAAGCTCTGCCCAACAAGAAATCCAACAGACCTTACACCACCTTTGAAATGGATCAGATTCGTCAACACATGATTCGAGGGGGGATGGAATTGGAGCAGGAACGCTTTGAAGTTCTCGATAACCGACGAAGAAAACTGCAAAGCGAAATTCTCAAGTTGAGGTATTGTGGATATTTACAGGGCCCAATGGCGGACTAGATGTACAGAAAGAAAAATTATATAATAATATTAATAATAATAATGACAATAATAAGAAAGGTGCATAATTAAAGAATTTCATTGAAGCACTGGGTGTAGCTTCTTATTACCATCAACTGAGTGTAGCTTCTTATTACCATTGAGCTTAGTAGAGCTTATATATTCAATGATTTTAATTTCAGTGGTGCCCCTAACATTGAAGATCTTGCCGAAGTGATTGAAAGACCTTGCGGAGGAAGCCACACCCTATCATACCCGCACAGCCCCAACGTAGTGAGAGGGCTCAACCTCAACAGAGAAGAGTTTGTTTTCGAAACAATCAAAACCATGAAACCCCTGCAGACAGTTGACATCTTGGGCCAAGATGGGCACATATACAAAGGGCTTGTAGAGGATATGCCTGTTCTGCCCCAAATAACTGCAACCTCAACGACCCCTAGTAATGCAGCTCAAAGGGCCCTCAAAGAAGGGAACCCAAACAGAAGCACCCCATGCAGATGTTCTACTCCATCTCCTGTGCCGTTTGAACAAGACGGAATTGATGAAGCTTCAAGTTCCTAAACCCTTGCCATCCATTCCACTTTTACTATTTTTCCTAATTACTTTAATTACTCTTTCCTCACCTAATTATAATCTTAAACCCTTTTTCATTTCATTTATGTTCAGCTCAGTCTCAGGGAATGACCAACTCAAGCATCAAAAATCGTCTTAACTTTTTCTGGTTAAATCTGATCATGAAATGTTAAAACTAAACAGGACTTTTCATATGGGAACAGATGTCAAGTGTAAGATTCTGACTTTTATTAAAAAAATATATGAGTTTTATTGTTTTTTTCTTTACTTGTTAAACTAGATCAACTATAAAAGTCAGCAGCACCCAATAGCCCACTTCCAAAATATGATTCGCTTTTCAAACACAAAGGTTTCAATGCAAGGCTTCATGCATAATGCTCAGCGATTTTCGAAAGGAGAAAGAAGAAATTTAATTTAGCACATAGCCTCGTACTAAAACCTTTGTGTGTGACAAGTGAAGCATATCTTAGAAGTGCACTATTGCCCATGGACTGGCTAGTGCTATGCCAGATTTGGTTGGCAAGACAATAAAAATCTAGGGGTGAAGGTTTGGTCATTCACAAAACCATGCTTTCACAAATTTTCACATGTTTACAAATATCTATGTTGAACATGGAGTGAACAGAGCATTTGAAAGAATCACAAAACTTTAATTTCTGGCAAAAAAGTTGCAAAAACCATTTGCCATTGGCATAGAATTTTTAGATGCACATTTTCTGCAATTAAATTGTAATGAACAAACAAACAAACGAACCAAAAAACGAAAAACAAACAAAATATAAACAAAAATAAATAAATAAATAAATAAATACGTAAGTAAGTAAGTAACTAACTAACTAACTAAATAAATAAATAAATAAAGAATCAAATTACAATAAATATTAAGAGATAACTAGCTAAAAGCTACTAACTAAAAGCTAAAAACTTACTGGCGTTTCGGACAATAGCCCTTCATCAGAGTAAAAGGGAAAGAGGTGGTAGAAAGGAGTGTTCATATATTGAGCACAAGACAAAAGAAACCAATGATTCATTGGTTTCTCTTGTCTCATTCTTATTATATAAACACTTCTTTCTACCACCTCTTTCTCTTTTACTCCAACGACGTCATTACAATAAATATTAGGTTTTTTGTGCTTGGTTAATTATTGGAGATGTACTTTTTGTCTTATCCAGCTAATTTTTATTGGGAAAAAATGCTCCACCATGTGCCTCAAGCCTGGATCCAAGAAAAGATATAACTTGACAAAACGTAATTTAGATACTAATGCAAATTTGAATGGGAAATGACTAAATAAATTGATGACTAATATACATACACATATGAAATAATTTTTACCAAACATAAAAATAGGTTACAATTGAACAAGTTATACAAATAATATAAAACAACAATAATACTAGACTAATAATACCACAATATAACATACCATATAACAATAATGCTATGCTAAATAAACATGTGTTTATGGATAAATAATACAAATGGAAGTTCACTTTCCCACTACCTAAAGTTTATTTCCTGAGTTAACCATTCTTAACTGTTAACATTCTTTAAAGCAGACTTCTAAGGACTGTGAAGAAATCGTGTTTCAAATGTTTCAATGAGATGACTATAACAGTACCGTGGTCTGGCACTTTCATTGGACGAGAAGCAAATTCCCTTGCTGGACTGTTTGGTTTAATCAACAAATGTTTCAAATTTTCTGCCATGTCCATGGCATATGATGTGACTTCACAGATTCAACTACATCAAATTATAATATTCTAGGACTTTCACCACTTCAATGGGCAACTGTGACTGGGGGATTATGAGGATTATGACCATCTTTTAAAATTTTAAGAGAAAAATTAACAGGTTTGTAGCCTTGTGTTAGTGAGCCCAAAGATATGACATCAACATTAGGATTAAAATAATCACTGATGTTATCTTCAGTTATTCCTCCGCTGGCCTCAATCAGAAGATTAGGAAATTCTCCTTTCAATATGGCAGCTGACTGATGGAGGGCATCTGGGGTAAAGTTGTCTAGCATGACAATGTCTGCCCCTGCACTAGCAGCAGATCTTCCTTCTTCTACTGAACGACATTCAACTTCAATCTTTAAGGAAAATCCTCCTACAGTCCTTGCATTAGAAACTGCTTGGGCAATATTGCCTGCTGTCCATATATGGTTGTCTTTCAACATAATCATAGATGACAGATCATAGCGATGCATAGAGGCTCCACCCACCACAAGTGCATACTTTTCCACTATGCGAAATCCTGGAGTAGTCTTCCGTGTGCCTGCTATTTCACCAGTCCATTTTGCAGCTTTTTTAAATCCTACTAATTTCTTTGCTTTGGTAGCAATCCCACTTGCACGTGTCAAGCAGTTAAGTGCCAATCTTTCTCCCAATAAAATCTTATTCACGTTGCCCTTGACAACAGCAGTGACAGAAATCGGTTCCACTACCACCCCCTCGGGATACTTCCACTCCACACTGCAACCAACTTCTTCAAATACTGCATTGAAGAATGGAACTCCAGCAAGAAGACCTTTTGACTTGCACAGGAGAACAGCTGTTTCTTGAGCTTCACCTACTACATACCCTCCATAATCAAAGCTTGGCGTGTCTTCTCTTAACCAATGTTGAACGTGTTCACGAACCGCAGAATTGTTAAGAAGAGTTGAAAAGTTTGGAGAATTATCGTTATGGTGATTTGTCTTTTCCATTTTCAGACTAATTTGATGGAGTACAAATTATCTTCAGATAAATATGAAGCAGTTAGCAGTAGTTACAAACTGTAATAGCAAGAGGGTAGTTCCGTATTGCGTAACCAGGCTAAGGACCAGATAATCTCTCAGTTGGTCCGCCACTTTGTGCAAAGGATTTTGGGTTAAAAGACGCCCTCCCACAATGCATTTACAAATAAAATAAAATAAATCGGGGAAAAAACATAATATCCCTGCAAAAATAAGAAAGTAAAAAGAAATAAAAACATCAAACGTTTTAGTTGTAGATTATGATAGTGAAACGAATAACAAAACAGAAACAAGAAAACAAGAAAAGAAAATCAAAACTACTATGTATTCAATCCCGCTTTCGATTCTTTCAAGCATGTTAGAAAATTCATATCCCTAAAATAAATCCCTATTGATAATCTCATATCCTAAAATATTTATGTAGGATTTTTAATAGAAATTTTGGACCAGCTGTTCATGTCTGTCTGTCTGTCATTGCTGTCAATCAATAGTACAATAACTCCCACAATACACCGCCGTCATCACCACTAGTAAACATGGCGTTCTTACAAAGACTTCGGGGGCTTCTTATTTTCACCGTTTGTAGCAGTTTTATTACCGGAGCCTTGTCAATACTTAACTTAGATGAACTACACAATAATAAATATGGAATAGAAATTACAAATGTTCCAGTATTGCTACGAGAGGTAAGAATACGAGACAGTCTTATTGAACCAATGGATGTCTGCAACGTCTGAATATATTTGACCATCTTTTGGACCAGTTTTCTTAAAACACCTGTTTTTGTGAAAAAACTTACTTTAAAAACATCTTAAATCAACTAAATAAATAGCTATCCTTGATGTTAATCGTAGGCATGGTGATTGTTAAGTAGACTTATTTTATTGTTTATAGCTAATTTTCTAGTTTCCTGGTAGATCGTTGTGACTATTGGCTTGAATTAATAAGATAGATCAAAACCTATTAATTAGAATCTCATGGAAACTGCACCAAGAAGTGTATTTTATGATAAGAATAATTTTCACATTTGAATTTATGTTTGTGGCAATCATTTCAGCGCACTAAAAGTATTTATTTATAGCGTATATCAATTAAATCCTTTATTATATTCTGTCTTGTGTTTTTTTCTAACATTTTAATATTTGATTTCATAAACTATGATATTTATTTATTAACTATTCTTTTATTCACAACATTATGCTTGGATGTTAGTCTTGTTAGAAGAGATCAGAATGTAACTTATAGTTATAACAGAACAAAGACTGTCAAAGTTGAGTTGCATAAGCTGCTAAGGCACAGGCACCACTGTTGTGCAGTTCATTCCTTGGTTCACAGGCTCAATAATCCTTAACTGACGAGCATTTGAAAAGAATATCACATGCTGAAAGACATCTCACTTGCACCTCTTGATCACAAGCCATAGCACACAGTCTTATCAACCAGTCAGAGTACATATTCTATTCGGACATCTATCATAAATCGAAGATATTAAACACTGCCGCAAAGATATAAAGTTTACATGTATCTTCCAGTGGTGGAAATATTTCACTCATTTGGTGAGCTCACTCATGAAATATTTTTCAATACGAGAAGATAAACCTCACCTTATATCTTCAAGCCAACATTTAATTTTTTTTATTGTATAGACTAGAGTTAATATTAACTCTGTATAGACACAATCATAAACAAAAGCTTGTTGAAAACATTGGAAAAGGCCTCATCGATATCATTGATATCTTCACAAGTGAGGATATGGAAAATACAGTATGTCACTGAGGTCCTGAATATAGCGTATTTCCCAGTAAAATACTAATGTCTATAATAATAACATTTAATAACATTTAAACATTTAATGTTTCATGTCATTTTTTCAGGATTCAGATATTTCAGATTCAATGTTAATATCCTCTAAACATGGCCAACAGTATCAGTGTACACTGCCACAAATAGAGACAGAAGAGACCATCAAGGATGCAAGGACAGACTTTACAACAGAAGAAGTCACAGATCTTTTGAAATCCATGCAAAACAGATGTTTATATCATGTGAGTAATAACTTAAGAGTAGACTTTCATTTTTTTGCAGTGACTGCCCTGGTAGGTGTCTGGAAAACTTTAATAGTAAAGACCCCTGGGGGGTACTCCCCTATATTCGCTATACAGGTACGTGCTGCCAAACAGGGTATGGTTTTCAGCGATTCTACTCTGGAACAGGGTATATGAAACCGCGCTCGCTCTAGAACCGGGTATATGAAATCACGCTCTCTCCTCTCTGGAACAGGGTTTTCAGCAATCTTGCTCTGGAACAGGGTACGAATTTCAGCGATTTTTACTCTGGAACAGGGTCAGGGTTCAGAGGGCTAAGCAGCACATCCATACCCTAAACGGGCAAGAGTACCCCCTCCCCCCCCCCCCGGGGTAAAGACGTATGTACAAAATTAAAGTTAAGAGATGACATAACATGTAGTGGTTGTTTACCAGCAAGTAGGCATGGATAAGGGAAAACTGTGCCCAATGCCCTGAATATACAGATCAAGGCTGTTAGGCCAAGATCCATTTTCAAGGCTGATGCCACAGTTTTTCTTTTTCAAAACCATGACAATAAATAAATATTTTTTCCAATTCACTTTTCCACTTGTTTTGCAATTTGTTTCCTTCTTTACGATATCTGTTATCCCATGTGTGCATGCGGATGACGTGAGCCTTTTGTCACGATACTGGACTGCTGGTAGAGGTAGAAAATAATGGACGCTCGCTCAGCCAATTTCATGTTTATGCTGGTGTTCATCGCTTAGTTTTATGACCATGTTGATTTATGTCTGTTTTTAGAATAAAGGTTGGTGGATGTATGAATTCTGCTATGGGAAATCCGTTTCACAATACCATGAAGAAGGTATATATTTATTACTAGGAAGAATTTGCTATAGTATCATATGTTTGAACCCTTTGTATGGTACATAGTAACTCTCTATACTTTGTTCTTTGACTGTTCTTATTTTTGGAGCCTGTACTTTTGACCATTTTAGGCACTGAGCTCGTGACCTCTCTTTGTCATTGTTCCCCATAATTTGCCATCAATGACAAACCATACAATTACTATCATTCTACTGTCATGCTCCCAAGGAATAAGCTAATGAATGGAACAAAGAATTGAAAGAAAAAATGAGTGAATGAAGGAGCAATCAAATGAATGAATGAAACAGTTCGTTTGTACTGACAAAGTTTTTCTGATTACATTATATTAGAGTGAGAGAGATGTCAAGAAATGTGTAAAGCCTGGAGAGATAGAGTGGTTAAGATTTATGATATTTTAAATTCAAAATGTTGCAGTCTGAATAATAATATACTTTTATTTTTTATACTTCTCTCTTCTAGCTAATAAAGTAGTTGGAGAGAAGATGTCTTTAGGAGTTTACAGTTCTGAAACAGACTGGAGCAAGGAAAAAATTGAGGTGAATGTTATTAAAAAAAAGAAGAAAATATCAGCTTCATATTATGTGCAATTATAAAGACTTTGGTTAAATCTAAATATGTTGTTGCTGAAAGGTATTAAGAAGGTATATTTTACTTTATTCTTTAAATAGATCGTCCTTGTGGAGGGTGATAGTGATTATGGTTTACTTAAATGATGTAACAAGAATAAATTTTATGTTTGTAGTTACCTTATTCAAAGAACAGTTCTAAAAGGTTCCATTCACAGTTCTTTGTAAATGGTACAAAATGTGACTTGAATGGAGAGCTTAGGAGTACTCAAGTAAAGGTAAGCTCTTAAAGGGAACATTTTGAAATTAAATGTAAATAAAATATAGGCAACCCTTCTTTTATCAATTAAAAGTTTTTAAGAAACTAAAACTAGTTGATATGAAGGAAAAGGAAGCCAGGTGCCAATGCTATGAAAAATTTTAATTTAGCAAAATAAAAATAAAAAATTATTAAAAAAATGTAACCAAAGGGTGTTTGCCTCGGATTTGACCAGCTGTCTTGACTACGTATGCTGTATATTGATTTAATATGTCAGGAGGACAGATTTTGAAGTCTTAGTACATTGTCCTCCTATGTGTTTGTTAGTGTTGATAGAACTACAAGACAGGGTTTGTGTGGCTGCTCAAACTCCTTGAAACTCCTGCATTTTGTCCATATGTTTGTTTTTATGGGCACTTGAAAAAGAAAAAAGAAAATTATATCATAAAAATTCAAGGATTTAAAAAAGGGGGGAGGGGGGTTCAAAATGGCTGCCATGAGGAAAAAGCTGGAGTGATCAGCTTCACAAAGGGGGTTCAATGATATGCGACTGATATGTTCCTTGATATGCCACTTACTATGGGGGAAGGGGGGGCAAAAACTGGGGGGGAGAGGTCAGGCAATGAATGCTTGCTCAATCGCACAAGATAATCAAAACACCACAGGTAGCCAACTAAAGGAATAATCAAGGAGACACACCAAATCATTG